CTTAGCCGGTTGAGCTATAGGCGCCGAGCCTGTTTTTTCTATTTTTAATAGAGACAGGGGTCTCACTCTTTTTTTTTTTTTGGCCCGGGCTGGGTTTGAACCCACCACCTCCAGTATATGGGGTGGGCGCCCTACTCCTTGAGCCGCAGGCACCGCCCGTCTCACTCTTTTTTTCTTTTTTTGAAAGAGTCTCATTATGTCGACCTCGGTAGAGTGCTATGGAATCACAGCTCACAGCAACCTCCAACTTTTGGGCTTAAGCGATTCTCTTGCCTCAGCCTCCCGAGTAGCTGGGACTACAGGCGCCCGGTACAAGGCCCAGCTGTTTTTTTGGTTGCAGCTGTCATTGGTGTTCAGCAGGCCTAGGCCGGGCTCGAACCTACCTCCTTTGGTGTATGTGGCCAGCACCCTACTCACTGAGCTACCAGCACCTAAGCCCTGGGTCTCATGCTTGCTCAGGCTGGTCTGGAACTCCTAAGCTCAAGGTATCATCCCACCTTGGCCTCTCAGAGTGCTGGGATTACAGGCCTGAGCCCTCTCACCAGGCCAATTTTTTATTTCTTGAGAAAGGGTCTTGCTTTCTTACCCAGTCTAGGGTGCAGTGGCTGGCATCATAGCTCTCTGCAACCTCCAACTCCTGAAGTGCTATACCTGTCTCAGCCTTTTTCTGAGAGTCTCACTCAGTCCCCTTCAGTAGAGTGCTATGGCACCGTAGCTCACAGCAATCTCAAACTGTTGGCTTCAAGTGATCCTCTTGCCTCTGCCTCCCAGGTAGTTGGAATCAACAGGTGCCCACCACAACGCTCGGCTATTTTTTTTAGAGACAGGGTCTCTTGATCAGGCTGATCTCAAATTCCTGACTAAGCTCAAGCAATCTACCCACCTTGGCCTCCCAGAGTGCTAGGATTATAGATGTGGGCCACCGCACCGGGCAGAAATTGTTTTTTAAAAAAGAGAAAATTAAAAAAATGAATACAAACATCTTTTCCTCACAGCCAGAACCATTTCTGTGACCTAGTTCAGTTCAGGTTAACTTGGATGTGTTCATTCCTTCCTGCCCTTCAGGTCCAGTGCACGTGCCAACATTACTTTGTCAGGGAAGAAGCGCAGGAAACTCCTTCAGCAGATCCGCCTTACGCAGAAAGAGAAGGCAGCCATGGAAGGTAAGGCTGGGGCACAGAAGTAGGTAAGGGGGAGCCTGGATTTATTTGGTTTCTTAAATGCTTCCTCTTTCCCTTTACTCAGTGGAAGCTCCTTCAAAGCCAGCCAGGACTAGTGAAGCACAACCCAAACAGCAAAAGAAGACAAAAGCCCACCAGGACATAGACATGAAGGACCTTGAAGATGAGAGCTAAAGTTCTTACCTCTTCTACCAGAAGTTTCTCAGCTGGAGCCATAAGAATTCCAGAGGTTGTTTCAGAGGACTTTGGAGAAAGCATTACCCCTTTTCAGTTCTCCCCAGATTCCTCTTCTATAATGGCCTACTGACCTTCCCTGTAGGGATGTATAATGAGGAAAAAGGATACAGAAGAAAATTGGGGAGGGGCCTGTCTGGCGGTCAATATTTGTAATAAAGCCCTAGAGCTCTGACTGAGTTGTGTGTGGTTAAATGTAGGACTGGGGATGAGGCATGAAAAGGGAGCAGGGAGTATTGAGATAAGACAGTCAGGAAGCAAGACTCATAGAACTTGTTTGAGCAAATGCAACAAGAAGCAAGAAGCCACTCTACACTGGCCTGTCTCCTTAGTGAATGATAATCATCTTTTTAGAGATATATGGGGCATCATATACCACCCTCAGTATATGGGGCTGGCACCCTACTCACTGAGTCATAGGTGCTGCCCATTTATTTTTTTGTTTTTTAGACAGTCTCACTTTGTCTAAAGTGCCTGCCACAAGGCCCGGCTATTTTTTTGTTGTAGTTGTTGTTTTGGCAGGCCAGGGCTGAGTTTGAGCCTGCCAGTCCAGGTGTATGTGGCCGGCACCCTAGCCTCTGAGCTATAGGTACTGAGCCCAAATTGTCTTTTTCTTTTTTTTTTAAATTATCTTCTTTTTTTTTTTTAAGACAGAATCTCAAGCTGTTGCCAGTGTAGAGTGCCACGGTGTCATCATAGCTCATAGTGACCTCCAACTCTTTTTTTTTTTT